ATTTGTACAGTTTGAGCTGCCTGTAAATCTGCCACCTTTTACCTGTAGTTTTGATTCTAACACAAAAATAGTTGAAAGAATAGTATAATAAACAACTGTACCCCTCACCTCGATTCACTAATATTTTATCATATTTGATCTCTCTTTCTCTGAGCTAGATTTTTTTTACGTCCCAAGTTCATACATAGTTTAAAAGGCAAAAGTATATAAATGGGATATATTCAGAGAAGTCTTATCCTCATTCCTATCCCTATTACTTAGAGGTCACTTAAAAAAAGTTAGTTTCTCATTTAATTTTCCTGTGTTTCTGTTTGCAAAATAAGCAGAGGTCTATGTTGATACATACTTTTCTCATTCTTTCTTGCTTGTGTGGTATAAGTTGTAAATAGTTTCTCCTCATTTGTATTTGATTATTTATCAAACTTAAAAATTTTTCTTTTATTACTTCTGAATTTGGAGTTTCTGAATTTCAGAAGGTTTTTCTCACAACCAGGTCATAAGGAAACTAAACCATGTTTTTTTCTAGTATTTGTGTGACTTTTCTTTTTAAAAAGTCTATTAATTAATTTTTTATTTATTTCAGATCCGTTTGGAATTTATTCTGGTATAAGGTGTGAGGTATGAATCCAACTTTATTTTACTTCTTTTCAAATTGCTATCCAGTTGTCCCTTTAAATATATTGCCATTTATTTAAAATTCCATCTTTAGCTCAGTGATTTAAAATGCCATTTTTGATTTTGTTTTAAACTTTCCTAGATACTTGTGGTTATTTCTGGACCTTTAAATTTTTTTCTATCTCATTGTTCTGTGTAATCATGTACCATTACTATACTATAAATTATATAATCTTTTTGTATGTTTTAATATTGGTGGGGTTAATCTCCCCTTTTACCCTGTTTTTTCAGGATTTGTATTGCTGTTCTCATGTATTTATTTTCCACATAAGCCCTAGAATACACTTGTCTGATCCAGGGAATGTGCTGAGAAGAAATAGAGCAAAATGCAACAAAACTTCTAATGAAACAACTAGAAACAATTCAAGGGCTCGCTCCTTGGGAAATCATCGAGAATTAAACTCTGACATCTAGCGTTCGCTGAAATCACTGCATGGTACTAATCCAACGTCTGATATTCCTATGAATATGAACAATGCTTCTTAACAATGTTTAAAACCTAGAGCATATTTTGCCTTGGAAAAATGTCGATCTGTTAGCAAAAGAGAAAGCTGAACGTAAGTCAGTAAGAGGAATACCCAGCTGTTAGCTATTCTTTTTTTGTGATTTTTCCCCACACAAGCGCAGGAATAAGAGGAAGTGAAAAAAAATTCATTAAAAAGTAAGAGTTCACTTGAGAAGTGAACGAAATTGCAACAGGTCTGATAACATACATGATGCCAGCACTGCTGAGGTAGGAGGGGGTGAAGAAAAGAGGAGGGTCTGAGAGCTGTTAGTTTCCCTCTTTTCTCTCATTCTTCAGGTATGGTAAGGGCCACGATGAGATAATAAAACAAAGGGGGTATCAGTAATTGGGTTTTAGAGTAGGAGCTAAGGTTTCTATGAGAGATTGAGAAACATGGGCTATTAGAAACTGGGGAAAAGCGAACAATGCTGTTATTTCTAGCGGTACTGAGATAGCAAAACCTTCCCTCTATATTTGATACTACTATGTTCATTTTCCCCACTGAAATAATTTTAATGCAAACATGCCAGCCTGGAAGAAAGGAATCATCTTTGTAGGTGGTGCTATGCTATTCCATCTTACATTCAGCTTTATTTCTTTTCCCTGTCCCTAGTGTTTACTAAGGGTAGAGGCAATGGATAACAAAACTTTTAAGTTTTGCCACAGACAACTTAAGGAAATTTAATTCATAGTTACTTCATGTTCTTTCTCAAAATTCAGATCACCCAACAAAAATTAGTGATTAAAAATGCAAAATAAATAGAATCAAAACTTATAATATTAAATGAGATTCTGTTTTAAAGGATGTGTAGATACCCCCTCCCCCAAATTGCACTGTCTTATCTTTCTCTCCAAATTTGAGCAGATTGAATTCTCCATTGTCCTTCTGTATTTCCCCCTAGTTGGTCGTAGGCTGAGTGAATATTCATTCTTGCAGAAATTCACAGACACTTGCAAAACAAGACAAGTACCTGCCTCAGGAGAGAGAGCTGAGCATGTTACCTATGCTGACTTATTTCATCATTGTGCATAGCCCTGGGCACACCATGAAATCCTTGCTGCCAGTTACCAAAGACTCCTCTCTTCCCAGTGAAAGCCTTTATGCTGCCTTCAGAACTATTTACCTCTATGCTTACTCTCTTCACAGTTGAATTTTAAATGGATGATGCAGACTTCACTGTAGTTGCTTTGCATTGCTTTGCATTTAGTATTACCACGTATATCTTTTCTACATCAGCAAGCAGGTTCCTGGTGTTCTGTAGAGTTTCACTGAATGGTTGCCCTGTCTTTAATCAATGAATTACTTAAAACATTTAGCTTATTTTTTAATCTTTATGAACAATGTGTAATTAAATCCTTTTATAGAAATCTCTGTGTACTTGCTATTATACCAAGAGGATGCATTTTTAGAAGTGGAGTTCTTGGGTCAAGAGAATATGCTTTTACTTTTTTCCCCCAGATTCCAGGCCTGCTTTGTTAATAGATATTTCATATTGCAGTCTAATGTCCATACAGAAGAGTGCATAAATCATAATCCTATAGCTTGCTGAGCTTTCCCAAAGTGAACATATTTGAATAAGCTACCAGGCCAAGAATCAGAATATTACCAAAACTAGAAGCCACTTCCATCCTTTTCTAATTACTATCCCCAAGGGTAACTGCTTTCTGATTTCTAAGGCTATAGATTAGTTTTGCCTCATTTTGAGCTTTATATAAACAGAATCATACAGCATATATTCTTGCTTCTGGCTTCTTTTTCGAACATGTACTGAAAATATTTGATAGTGCAATGTAAAGTTTTCATTCCTTACATACTCTTGGCCTCTCAGTGTAATTGGACACCGCTGACCATCTCTGTTTTGATATTTTTCTCCTTTCTGTTCTATGACATCATCTCCTGGCTTTCTTCCTTCACTCAACCTTAAATCGTTGATGTCCTCAAGGAAGTCCCAGGCAACCTCAGCCAAATACATGGCTTCTGTTACCATTTATATTCCTATGACTCCTGGATTTAAACCTCTCTCACAGACCATTTCCCTGAGACTCAGATATCCAACTTGACCCCATCACTTAATAGGTCTCAAAATTCAACATCCCCAAACTGAGCAAACAATCCCTTCTGCTCCTATTTCAGTATTTCTTACCTCAGTGGAAAAATACCACCAGCCACAGGTTTCACAACATGGATACCTGGGCATCATTCTTTTTTTTTTTTTTTTTTTAAAGATTTATTTATTTATTTGAGAGAGCGAGAGAGTACATGAGAGGGGGGAGGGTTAGAGGGAGAAGCAGACTCCCTGCCGAGCAGGGAGCCCGATGCGGGACGCGATTCCGGGACTCCAGGATCATGACCTGAGCCGAAGGCAGTCGCTCAACCAGCTGAGCCACCCAGGCGCCCCTGGGCATCATTCTTGACATCTCTCTTTCAATGTACCCTGTAGCCACGAAATCCTGACAACGTTTCCCCCAAAATACCTCTGGTAATGGTGCTCTTCTCACCAACATCATTACCAGCATTTAAATCCAGGCTAAACTTGGATCATCTCTTGCGTAGACTATTGCAATAGCCTCCTGACTAATTTCCAAACAAATGAATACTCTGCTTCCAACGCTTCAACTGTTTGTACATAATACTGAAGAAGTTCCTTAAATCAGCATTAAGGACCTAGTCTCTTCCTGTTTCTCAAGCCCCTCTTTTCTCCCCTTTCTCCAGAAATTGCTCCACACATTCCTTAAAAGGGTCAGGAATTATATCCAACACGGTTATCTGGAAGATAAAAGTAAAAAAAAATATAGGGAAATTTGATGGAAAAAAAAATTTCTTTCAAAATATGCAGTGCACTGTGGGGTGGTGGTGGTGGTGAAAAATTCAGAAAGCAATGAGATAAAGGAATAATTGCCCTCAAAGAGTTTCAAACTGCTTCAGAGGCCAATTAGCATCATGAGTAACAGTCCTGGCTTCAGAATCTGATGAAACCTGGTTCTGACCATGACGTGGCCACTTAAAATCTGCATAAGTTTTGGTGAGTCATATAACACGTCTGAGCCAGAATTCCCATGATAAGATAATTCCTATCTTTCATAAGGATTAAGCTACCTATATCTACTCTTTGGCACAATGATCAGCACATAGTTAAACTTTAAATAAACTGTATGCATGTTATTATTAAGAATAGAGTAAGGCTATAATATTATTGCCATATACCAGGCAGGAATAGCCAAGTTTAATCAATGCTAAAGATAATGAGCATCCCTGGGACAGAAACCAGACCATATTCTCCCAAGAGCTTTATGGACTCTGATTACTTGGTGTTCTTCCCTCTGGAACCAAGGATAAGTTTCTAGGTAACCAGTAGTCAGGATGACCTAAGCATATACTCACTCCCAAGGAGTCTTGTTTTTTTTTTATTAAAATGATTCTCTCCATCAGTTTGTTTACTTCTCTCAGAATAAATACCTATGGGGCGCCTGGGTGGCTCAGTCATTAAGCATCTGCCTTCGGCTCAGGTCATGATCCCTGGGGCCTGGGATGGAGCCCTGCATCGAGCCTGGCATCGGGCCCCGCATCAAGCCCCGCATCGAGCCTGGCATCGGGCTCCCTGCTCGGCGGGAGGCCTATTTCTCCGTCTCCCACTCCCCCTGTTTGTGTTCCCTCTCTTGCTGTCTCTCTTTCTGTCAAATAAATAAATAAAATCTTTAAGGAAAAAAAAAAGAAGAAATACCTAAAGTTGGATCTTCCCTTATCTTTGTAGTTGGGATTTTATGGCCTCTATTGGGATAAGAAAACAATATTTTCTCTATGGTTAAGTCAACTTTATACAAACTAGACCCATCAGACCATTGAGTCTGCACCTACTTTTATTGCAAATGGAAGAACACAGCTGGTGATGCTTATCTCTTCCTTTGCAGTCCTTGAAAGATATATATACACAAAAGCAATGGAAGCCCAAATTAAAAAAAAAACAACTCAGGATAAAAGACTGATGAAAGTACTTACTTGATTATTTAAGCATTTAAATCTCCTTTACAAAAGGGATACATGATTTAGTGACAAAAAAATAGATGGAAATCAAAATGACAGCATTCTGGCTCAACGTCTAACACCTATTATCTATAGTATCTTGAAAAGTCATTTATTTTCCCTGATCCTTAAATTTTTCAGATGCAATGAAAGAATTAAAGTTTATTATCTTATCAGAATTCTGAGTTTATACATATGCATATATAAAATATGAAAGGAATGTATATATATTTGTGTATCTATGAAAACACATTTATATGTGCATCTGCATACCCACATTCACACTTATATATGTATCTTAGTTTCTTATGAGAAAGCAGGTTACAAACAGGTGATAGGTAAGGTCTAGTCCTATGCTGACATCATCTGCTTTTAGCATTTAAAATGCCTGTATTTTCATTCCTCCATCCAAGACCACTGAGCAGTGGGAACTTTTTAGAAATGGCAGTTCTCAGGTCTTACCCCAGACTTACTGAATCAGGGATTGTGGGGAAGAGGCTCCACCATCTGTGTTGCAATCTGCCCTCCAGGTGATTCAGAAGTGCACTAAAATGTGAGAACCACTGCATTCGAACATTCCCAGGGAAGAACGATAGGCTAGAGTTGTAAGCAGAAGTGGAAAACCAGTAATTAAAGGGGGGAAAGCAGGATGGTCTACAGAGAACCTGGATCAGAAAGGGTAGGAAGAGTTTAGAGAGACATCGCAGCAGGCACAGGGGAGTGTTATTTTTGTTAGTGGGGAGCTGGTGTGGCTGTGAAAACCCAGAGCAGAAGCCCAAGCAGCAATAAGAAAGTGGTAGCCACATGCTCACGTGTTAAGTCATTGTTCTCATGCAGTCATTTCTATAACTGGGCTGAGAACTGCTGGCTTTAGAACCTTTATCCTGCAGCGGATCCCAAAGGAAGGTAATTATCCTCTTCTCTGCAATTGCTGTCTCTGACCCCTAGTTATTTACTGTAGAACCCTGACGCAGGGAGAGTGAAGGCTTCTCAGGCTGATCCTACATGTCTTCTCCAGGCCCCTTTCAACCCAAGATTCTTCTGATTCCAGTTGGAATATTCCCCTCATTGCCGGCCAAAGAGTGTATGTATGTTCAGGGAAAGGAAGAAAAATTCCTGGAGTTTCAATGCGCTAGAGGTAAACTTAGCCAGAGAAAGCTGCAGGGGTGAGAATAAGCCTATGAAAGCGACAAGGCAAGAACTCAGCGCGGACATTCTTCAGGAGGCTTATGGATGCCATGTTGTCATCCAGGACATTGCCCTGACAGGGGAATCCCTGGCTTCGCAACTTCCTGGCCAGTGTGAGGGCCACCAGCTGGCTATAACCTTTCCTGCGATGCTCTGGCAGGGTATATCCATGGCACGTGGTGGCAAACTGGTCTGTGAGAGACCAAGAGACCGGGTTTCCCTTGTCATCACGGACACATACACTGGGGAAGCAAGAGATGAGTTTCGCGATGTAACGGAGACACTGTTCATTGCCACCCCGTGACCAAGTCCTGTTGAGTAGATCAGCATCAGCAACACTCAGGTAAGTTAGTCGTGGGGAAGAACCCTTTCTAGAAGAAAACAACGTGAGAAGAAATGTGAACTCGGGGTCATGTGACTACAAACAGCTACTTCTCTTTTTGCACTGATTCAAACTGAGAAACAATCCCAGGGATGTACTTAGCCAATACCAAAATATTTTCAATGAATTAGAATCTATCACTTCCCACTTATGAAAATCTTTCAGGGTTTACATTTCTGATAGGACAAAATACTCATTATATGAAATTTAAGTCTTTCCATCTAATTTTATTCCTATTACTTATTGCCTTCATATAGATGAGGGCAAATATTTCATTTTTCTGTAAAACAATTCTCAGACTTGCTCTTATTAAGTACTGAGTCTGTTGATACCCTCTCTGAAGACTTGAACAAGTCCAGATTCTTGGGTCCCTAATCTTTTCCTTGGTTAAAAAAAAAAAAGTATTGGGTTAGAACTTCTATCTTTATGCATCCATGGCCAGAAAAGAAATACAAACTGCTTAACATTCTAGGCATATTATAGATGCTCAAGAAATTCTAGCCTTCTAGACCTTCCCCTAAAAGGTCTGGAAAAAGTCTAAAAGCTCATTGTATTGAGATAAAGACAAAGTAAGAATTGCTGCAATTTCTAAGAACTGAGATGGATTACTTAGTTGAAAACCTATGGTGCTGGTTTTGCTTCAGAATTTGCTTTCATTCTTGAAATTATCAATGTCATAAGACCATCCCTGGTGACTGCTAATGCCATTCTTGCTACGATCTTTAAAAAGTACAGTTTGTGGGTTTTTTTGTATTAGTGGTTCTGCAGTGTTAGCTCACATTCTAGGCTTACTGTGTGGGCTCCGGCACTGGGCCAATAATCTAACCATCAAGCAGGGTAAAATAAATACAAGCAACAACTGTCTTGATAGAATTTTTAACTTAATTTTTGAAAACGAACTTGAAAACAAAGGCTGAGAAGCCCAAGGCAAAGAAGCCTCAAGCAGAAATGTCACCACAAATAACACCGTTGCTAAGGCAAGTGTTTCAGGAGTAGTTAGATTAGTAACTATGACCTTATATCAAGGGCAGGGTATCCAAAATAAAGGGTATACAAATTTGGGTAGCGACTTAGATGTTAAAGGCAGTATCTTCCTATGCAGAAGGAAGCAATTTAAAGCAAAATCTGATTTTCAAAGACCTGACCGGGGTAGAGAGCAATTTTAAATAACATCTCAGGGATATGACAGTAAAAGACTGGGAAACTCTCAAACTCTAAAGGACACATAGCCTGGTTTCTTCAACAAAAAGTAATACAAGAAATAACAAAATATGAAAGGGGAACCTGTATGTCAAAAGAAACTCAAGAGAGATATTAACCAATTGCAATGTGTGAACTTTATTTAGGTGCTTACTCAAAACCAACTGCTAAAAATATTATGCTAATTTGGGAAATGTAAGTACTGACTGGTTTAAGGAAATACTGTTAACAAAATTACAAGACATTCTGCAGCACAGATTTGATGCCACAGGCTTGAGGCCTCTATCTTTAGAAAAGCCTGCTTGGGGGCGCCTGGGTGGCTCAGTTGGCTCAGGTCATGATCCTGGAGTCCCGGGATCGAGTCCCGCATCGGGCTCCCTGCTCAGTGGGGAGCCTGCTTCTCCCTCTGACCCTCCCCCCTCTCATGTACTCTCTCTCATTCTCGCTCTCTCAAATAAATAAATAAATCTTTAAAAAAAAAAAAAAAAGAAAGAAAAGCCTGCTTGCCAGGTTGGCCCTTGGATGGCATCTGGCAATTTGGATTTCTGCAGGGGTCCTGCCATTCCCAGAACTGATATGAGGTTAGCACTTACCGCACCTACCTGTTTATACAGGCAGTGTGGTTTATGATGAACACCTGCTTTCCCTCTTTGGGTCTAGAAAATTGGTATATGCTAGGCAGAGGGTGCCTCCAATAAAAAATCCCAAACATTTTGTCACAATTTATTGTTGGGGAAATTCAGCGTGTCCTGTGTGACTCCATTGGGGAGGACTCTGGGAAGCTTGTGCCTGGTTTTCTCTGAACTTTGCTAATGCACCTTTTTCTTTGCTGATTTTGCTTTATAGCCTGTATATGCCGAGTTCTGTGGGTTCTTCTAGCCAATCAATGAGCCTGTGGATGGTCCTAGGGACCCCTGTATAGGAGTGATATTAGTACAGTGTTGTTGTTGTTGTTGTTTTTAAGAATCCTTATCTTTTAGAAATATATATTAAGATGTTTAAGAATAATGGGATAATGTCTGGGATATTTCCTTCAGAATAGTTAGTAGATAGGGGTATGGATGAAACAAGATTAGCCATATATTGATGGGGGAGGTTCATTATTCTAGTCTCTCACTCAGCCTTTGTATGTGCTTGAAAATTTTAATAACTGAAAAAAATAAAATAAAATAAAAATGAAGTCCAGGTGCTTTATTTGACTTAAAGTGCCCATTCTTCTTTAGGTTTAGTTTTTTTTGCTCAAAAATTCCTTCAACATATTCCATAGAAGAAAAATTAACATTCATTGAGGTGGGTACTTTTCAAGTATCATGTTTCATTTGTTTACAAAATTCATGTAAGAAAGATATTATAGGTTAATTTTCAAAAAAAGAAATTGATCAAGGCTCAGAAAGATTAAGCAGAAAGGAAGGTAACTAGCAAATGCCAGAGCAGGGACTCTCCAGTAAGAAGAAAAGAAGAATGCAGATATACACTAATAAGTCTTTGAAGATTGGATTCTGGACTCAGAATCAGGAATTATTTCTTGGCTCTACAATTTACTCCTATGTGTTACTTCAACTTTGCTCAAAAAGGTATTATACAGTACTTTATGGGGTTGTGGAAAGGGTTCAAGAGGCAATATATTTAAAACATTCAGTGCCTGGCATATAAGAGCTCCCTATAAGGTCAGTTATTTACCCTCATCCCTGAAACATGAAAAAACACTAACCACTTTGGGCTCAGACAACAGAGGTTATTTAGAATTATTTGGAGGAGAGGCATACCAAGGAATGATTTTTCTGTGTATACTGTGAAAATATAGGACTCCTAAAAATAAGACACTGATTTGATTTTGCAAGAAATTATGAGCAGTCAGGCGCAGCAGAAAAAAACACACACAGAACCCACAGACACATACGACTCTGTGACCCTACTCCAAGCTACCCAAATATTCCTTAATAATACTAAGTATTTCAGGTACTGCTATTTGTACTTCTGTATACTAAGTCCCATCCCACATGTAGAAACTTGGTTTACATACAGAGAATTGGTGTCCGGTAGAGCTGAATGGGGAGAAAATTGAACAGCCTTGAAGGAAGTTAACTTTATTCCTAACTGCTTTGAGTTGGCAACAGCATTGGAAACATCACATAATTCACTCTGCAGCCCTGTATATGGAAATACATAATGAAAAATGTGGATATTTTATTTGAAAGCACAAAAAGGAAATTTGTAGCAGTATTTTTGTACTAAGTATCATCAATGTCACCAGTTTGCCACCTTGTATTATCTTAACCTCTATGTATTTATATACGAATTATTACAGCTACTCCTGGCCTGATTTTCAAACATTGTGTGGGATTTTCAAATCCCCATCATGTTGTTTCTCACAATCATGATCTTCCATGAACATTTCTGATGGGAATATCCCTTAGGAATTTGGAATTGCTTGTGGGATTTTCCTGATTTTTCTGACTTCTCAGACTGATCTTAAACTCCTTAAAGTAAGAGAAATTTTATAACTCTAAAAGTCTACAATCTACCATACAGCTGGAAGCATAAAAGAGCTCAGATTTATCTGGCATGGCATTCTGACTTAAAGAGTCTTCCAGCCTCTTGCCTAGATGCCCATTTCAGAAACAGAAATATCAAGGTATAAATTTAGTGTTGGTGAGATTTATCCTAAACTTGACTCATTTGGATCCTGCTCATTTATCACAGCTATACTGTGTTATAGATAAATCTTTATTCAGTTCTTGTATGTAAAGCACTGTGCTTGCCACTGCATCACCGTGAGACCCAAGCATGGTACGGTCTCTGATAGAGCTTGCCGCATGGCGTGTTAGCTTCTGTTTAGTTAGAACTGACTTGCTCTGCAGAAACTCTTAATGTAATTCCGTCTTGGCCAAAAGTTCTTCCACTAGCATTGATAACCATGCAATTATCTCCTTGGATCTCAAATATACTCTTATCTCACTAAATCATGTCAGGATATCTGATGCAGATCAGTTAGTTACCTCTTTCCAGAATCACCTGCTTCAGAAAGAAGAAAAGACCTACCTATTGGCTTAAGTTAGAGTCACCTTAAAAGTTTGTGACAAGAAATGATTAAGAGTAATAAAGAAAAAATATGCTGTGATACTCACTGATATTACAATAACAGTGTGTGGGGGGGATGTCACTTGAAAGCAGTCCTATTTATTTATTTATTTATTTATTTATTTATTTATTTATTTATAAAAGCAGCCCAATTTAAATGGCCTCTACTTAACCCCAAAGGCCAAGCCTCATTAGGAGTAAAACAAGAGTTCTTACAAAACTGTAATACAAGAATTGTAACTATATAAGATGTATATATATGAATTTGTGCACTTAAGTGTATATATTATATACGTGAAATAGATATCATATCATATCTGATGTATATGACAAAAATGAGACAAGAAGACTGCCTAGTGTCTTGCGCTTCATCTCACCTTGTATTTGAAAAACTTGATCCCAGTTGATAACATCATGTTCTTCCAACAGCCGTTGGTAAGCCATGACATCCGTGTAGAACACAGCATAGGCATTAGTATAATGGTCCAGGTTATCTGTCTCAGCCTGGGACAGAAGACATAATTGTAAAAACATAAATATACCCTCTAGGTAACTCAAATCCTAGATAGATTAGATACATTGGCTGCATAGGTCTAGATCATTCCCATTACCAAAATTAGCCACCTATAAACAATGGCTAGATGGGAATGTGGCTAATATACAGGGGCTCCTGGGTGGCTCAGTTGGTTGGGTGTCTGCTTTGGCTCAGGTCATGATCCCAGGGTCCAGGGATGGAGCCCTATGTCAGGCTCCCTGCTCAGCAGGGAGTCTGCTTCTCCCTCTGCCCCTTCCCCCTTGGCTTTCTCTCTTATGCTCTCTCTCAAATAAATAAAAATCTTAAAAAAAAAAAAACTAATGGTGAAATACATAGCTTCTTAAGCTAATATATATATGGCTGTGATGGTTATAATATCCCCTTTACCTAATCTTTTCTTTCTAGTTGATGCCAACTCTTGGGTTTTCATGGGGTGTTTTTTTGTTTTGTTTTGTTTTTCTGGCCTTTCAAATATTACCTCTTTCTGTCGCCGTGTGATAACAGCTTTGAAGTCTGGCCATGAATCCACTACCACTTCCTTTTGAAAGGGATTCCCACGATTCATGTTCATCACTGCTCCATAAACCTGAGCCAGAGAACCCAGAGAGACAAGCCAATCACATTACTAACTCTTTCAGTTGCATATTATTGTGTTTTTTTTTTTTTTAAGATTGTATTTATTTATTTGACAGAGAGAGAGAGATCACAAGCAAGGGGGGATGCAGAGGGAGAGGGAGAAGCAGACTTCCCGCTGAGCAAGGAGCCCGACACGGGGCTCAATCCCAAGACCCTGGGATCATGACCTGAGCCAAAGCAGACACCCAACCAACTGAGCCACCCAGGAGCCCCTGCATATTACTGTTTTCCCTTCTTCTTCTACTGTATAGTTGCGGCCATGAGAGGGGAAATTATATATATGCACATATATGCAACATGCACACATACAAAGTTTTCTCTTCTTATTTCATCACTGTACATGAAAACTGGTAAAAAGTCTATGAAAGCCTATGAAAACTCTCTCCAAACTTAGGTTTTTACTGTACAACAGTGAGAGGTACCAAAACAGCAGGCTGACTAGATGGCACACAGCTCAGTAATAAGTACTTACAGAATGAATCAGAATCTGATGTATGGATTTAGGGCTCATAATATCTTTTACAAGTTCTACAGATAATTTTGGCAACCAGCTGCTTGTGAAGTTTATTAGACTCTCCAAAAATAACCTGTTTATGCAACTACTCCTTCAACCATGAATTACAATTAAACATCACTGAGGGTAACCGCCCTCCCCCAGAAAGCCCTCTGCATTTCAGATTTGTTGGAACAAGGCTCTCTAAGCATTCCCTGAGGGTCGTAACTATGTCTTATTCATTATTATGTTCACGGAGTCTGACATAGTGGATCAACTGGTTGTTGACTAAACAATATTGAGTATTAGAATTCTGATCTGTGGCCTTTCATATTTTTTTCTCTAGTAAGAATCAAAGATGCCTGCCCTATAAAACAACTTTCATATGCTATGGGTGCTTATAGAGAAGAGAAAGGTGTGGTGGTAACAAGGAGAGCTGACCTACAGGCTAGTGTTCTTAGCAGCATTTTCATAATAGATAGAAACTGAAAACAATCTAAGTGTCCATCAGCAGTGGAGAAAAAATGAATAAATTGTGGCATATTCACACTATGAATTACAAAACAGAAACTTAATGGTGAGCAAAAGAAGGTAGATACAAAAAGATATACTTTGTGATCCAATTGACATTATATCCAAAAACAGACAAAACCAAATTATGGCTTTAGATGTCAGGATAGTGGTTACTTTTGGGGAGCAGGAAAAGGTAATGACTGGAAAAGAGCATTGGTGGGCTGGGGATAAACTGTGTCTGAAGTAATGTTCTATCTTGATTGGAGTGCAGGTTATACAAATATCCGCTCTATGAAAATTCATTGAGCTGCATAATTATGTTATGTGCACTTTCTAGTATGTGTTATACTTCAATGAAAACCAATTAAATTTTAAGGGCATTGGAACCTACATTTTACCTCTTTTATCACATCTCGATTCAAATCACTCACCTCAATGCCTAGAACATTATTCAACTTTCTTCTCTCTTTCGTAACCTGGGACCTCATTCAAATCTTCTTATAGAATGTATCTTTCCAAATTTAGTCTGGCAAATACTAATGTGTGACATGGATCACACTTAGTGAAAATCCGAGAACTAAATTAATCTCAATGGGTCATGCTTGCTCTGTTTAATTATTAAATTTTGGGACTGCCGATCTTACATATACATAGTCATAAGTTTATTAAAATGTTTATTCCCATGAAGAAACCATACAGCCTTATTAAAAACTGGGGCTTAAATATGATTGGAATGTTGAGAATGTTAAAAGGAAAAAAAAGTCCTTCAAATTCAGATTGTGAAAGAAAAAAAAAAACATGACTTATTTGTAAGAGTTTTGCAACCAACTGAAAGATTTGGCATTGGTTAAAGACAACAAAACAAACTCTTTTAACAGCTATTTATTCAAAGGGTGAGTGTTGAGAGGAGATGGGAAGTAGCTAGGGGAAGTAAGGATGCTGGAGTTGGAGTTTGTGAAGGAAATTTGGAGGGATATTTAGTCACTGAAATACTAAGATGAGGTAGGTGGGGGGATGGTGAAATGGTGATGGGAATTAAGGGGTTCGCTTGTGATGAGGACTGGGTCATGTATGGAAGCACTGAATCACTAAATTGTACACCTGAAACTAGTATTACTGGAATTTAAATAAAAGCTTTAAAAAATGGGATTATAAAATACATAGCCATGCCTCCAAAAAAAATGGAGGAAATATGAACAACAAAACAATTTTTTCTTTATCTTTTTTATTCTCTAGAGGGCATAGTGTAACTGAAGAGGTATTTTTGAAAGTACGGTCAGAGAACCCAAGCCAGACATTATATAACAATGCAATAATTGAAGATAGACAGATTCAAAGATAAAGAGACTCCATGTACAGAAAATGAGAAATTGGGAGTGCCAAGCTAAGCAGCTATTAAAGAGAAGATGATATGAGGAAGGTGTTGATTTGTTCCTACACATTTCATTTCTTTAACTCTTACTTCAAGTGGTGTTATGAGAAGCAAACCTTTCAAAAAAAAAAAAAAAACAAAACCCCAAAAACCACAACCATGCAGTTTGGAATCTGATAGCTTGGTTTTAAATCTGAACTCTAGCACTTAGATATGGGGAAGGGATTTAGTAACATCATCTGTAAAATTATAATGTAAATAGCTGCCTATTTAGAGGTATTAATATTACAGAGGGATTAATAGGTTTTATAAAGCTCAAATGAGATAGTGTGAAAGGTAGTTTAAAAAATGATACATACTATTCTGATCAACTCAATCTGAATTCAGAGATCCTTAAAAATAAGATTTGAACAGGTGAGGGTTAATAAGTAATTATTTTATAACACAGCCAGTGACCAATCAACAACAGTTTATTGAGTAATTATGGGCAAAGCCCCATGGCAAACACTATGGGAGGTGTCAAAAAAGAAAAAAAAAAAATAGAAAGAAAAATCAACATCTACACCTGGGTATCTGGTAGCTAAGTTGCTGTAGGAGAAGCAGTAGATATGAAATCAAAGGAACTGAGATTTAACTGATTCTTTACTTGCTTTAACCTTTTTTGAACTCCAACTTAGTCATTTCTAAAATGGGTTAATAGACATCTTACAAAGTTGGAAGGATAAGATAAATTGAAATTATCTGTATGCTAAAGTACTATCCAAATATAATATTTATAATGTAAGAGCCCATCATTTGTCTTGACAATTATAAGATCTTAGGTGACCCCGTGAAGGTCACCAAAACCTTTTTAGTTCTCTCCGGCAAAAGAGTGGGCCAAACATTTATTCACCAGAGTGTCCACATTCAAAATGGGAAATTTCGAGTCAGATTGTCCATTTGGTACTCTTTTAGCCATATGATCCCAAATTATCACACAGATTTTCCCTACAACACATAGTTTAAGCATGATCCATAAGGCCAGATGACTAGATTTAATCAACCCAGTACAGTGCTCTAGATCGCTTTTGTTAAAGTTTAGAGTAAATAAGGATTATCCAGGGTGTGTGCTAAAAATACAGGTCTCTGGTCTCCATCTTTAGAAATTATGATTCATTATATTTCTTCTGGGTTATTAGCAGTCACTCACATTTGCAATCAAATGCTCTTACCACTGAGCTATACCCCCCGCCACTCACATTTGAAAATCACTGCTGTAGGGCTATCTCCTCTGTCAAGAATCTCAGCCCTCAAAGACAATTTCTTTGCATTTTGCATTTTTTTCTCCAGTGCTTAAAATATTTTTAATCTCATATTTATTTGTAATCTTTGATTAATGTCCTCCTTCCACAGTAGCTCTGAGTTGTCCGCAGGCCCTCATGGACTTTGAGGGGACTTCGACAGAGGCTTAATGACCAACATAGCCATTGAAAAAAACTTCAAAAATAAAGATGTTGAAATAGTCAGAAAAATTTTATAATGACTCCTGGACCTCAGCTCCATTGTGAACTTAGGTTATGTTCTTATGAGCAATGCTACTTAATCCATACTTTCTGCCATTAAAAATGTTTAAAACTTGAGTTTACCTTAGAAATGATGTAGTCCATCACCTCCTAAATTTTCCCAGAAGTCATCTAGAATGACTGTCAAAAAAATAATTATCACAGCTGTATCTACAATGCATGGAATCAGTCTCCAGCAGGAGGGGACTGGGAAACTAAGTTTAGTAAGTTTAATAACAGAGTCCTGACATCAGAAAAACTTGGAAAACAGCCACCAAGTCTGACATTATTTCGCAGATTAATAAAATAAAGGAATAAAAGAAAGCTCTTAAATGTAGAATACCTTGAGTGATTCAGGGAAGTGGCTCTTCAGCATTTTTTCCAGGATCAGTAATTTGGTAGAACAGTTGAGCACCAGCATCTTCTCCAGAGCTCTAGCAATCCCACACCTGATGAAAAACCTGAAGGGATAGGTTTAGTTTTTGCTTGTTAACATTTGAATCTCCTGAGGAACATCCTTGAGGTCCTGTTTTTACTGGGTGGAATTTGGAATGCCGTTGCTCCCTTTAATGAGGGAAGAAGACAGAAGATGAGAGATACTGGGGTAGGTAAACCAGAGGACATGTGGAAATAGAGAATGTTAATAACCTAATCCTGGAAAGAGCTGAGTATCCATACTGGGTTAAGTCTTTGTGTTCTATTATATCCCCAGCACCTACAGGGCCTGGCACAGAGTAAAAGGGCATTCTAAGTGGTTGTTGAATGGATGAGAGGAAGCGCAGAGTAAGAGTCTTAGGGTAAGCAAGGAAACTTCTTTTTACAATGCCCAAAGATGTGAGTGGGTCAGGTGTCAGGTGGTTATGGGGAACAACTTGCAGAGAAACACCTAGGTTGAAGGTGAAGAATCAGATGTGAGCAAAGGCTGAGGCTCATTTTATTTAGATAAAATTAAGGAACAAAAAAGGGACTTAATATAATGTATGCAAATTCAACCATTCATATGCAGTTATGTTTTGTAGATTTAGGGGCTCCATATCCCCTGCTTTTTGTCCCTAAGAAAACTTTTTCCCCAACATTCCAATCAGGTCTTGACTGAATGAAAAAAAAATTTGTTTCTCTCTATTCAATACAGTAGAGTTTATCCACTTACTCTCAGCAGCCAGGCATGAGGATGGCAGAGACAATTCAGCTAGACATGAGAACCTGGTGCTTCTGAGACTGTAGTGTATTCTTCCTGTACAGCACATCTCCCAGATAGAGAAAGCTACTACTTGATTTCACCATGTGGCAGCTCTGTGTGACTATAAGATACTCAGAGTGCTTGATTGTGATTTGCCTAAAATCCACCATAAAACTCCATCATATGGTTTATGTGAGTCTGAACTTCTACGAAGCATATTTCTTGTGATCCAGCCCTGTGGGTTCCAGTTTGCCGAGTGGTACACCTGAGGTGTTTGTAATTCTCTAATTCTCTCCGGGAGTCAGAAGAGATACTGGGGCCAGCACGAGAAAATCAGGCTCCTGGACCCTAGTACTCATAGTCTGGGCCAATATGAGAAGCTTTGCAAAGATGGAGTTTCCGGAGTTCAGGTTGAGCAAAGGAAGGAGAGATGTAGCCCTCATCTTTTCACGCTGGTATCTGCTTGACATTTCACTCGACTCATGCTATCTCTAAATAAAATGTTAACTTTTTATTTTTTTATTTTTTATTTTTTAAGATTTTATTTATTTATTTATTTGACAGTGAGAGACACAGCGAGAGAGGGAACACAAGCAGGGGGAGTGGGAGAGGGAGAAGCAGGCTTCCCACCGAGCAGGGAGCCCGATGCAGGGCTCGATCCCAGGAGCCTGGGATCATGACCTGAGCCAAAGGCAGACGTTTAACAACTGAGCCACCCAGGCGCCCCAGAATGTTAACTTTTTAGTAGATCCTCATGTTAAATACATTAATTTATTCTAATTCAATATTTTTGAAAAAATAAGATAAAATTATTTCATAGAGAAACTCATCATGTATCTCTTATTACATTTGGTACCTAGAGATGTTTTTATGTCCTGATACATAGCAAAGTAGATAGCTCAAACAGTAGGAATTCTAAGTACTTGTTGGTGATTTGCTTTATTGCCTGGTTGTTCCCCAAAGTTCCTAAAACCACTTATAAACATAGGTAAAATATATGAAGAAAAATTAAATTTAAATTAAAATTCAGGCAAGGGGAAAATGGAGGTGCAAACGTAATATGGGGTCAAGAGTAAGGCCAGCAGGCAAAGCATAAGGACTATAGTCCTACATACAGAGTTGATCCTCTTTATTTGTAGGATTCCATATTTGTGAATTCACCTACTTGCTAAAATTTACCTGGAACCCCCCAAATCAATACTGACCGTGCTTTCGCAGTCATTTGTGGACATATTTGAGTCTCTAATGCCAACGTTGTCAGCTGAAGTTGCAGAAGCTGACCTCTCATTCCAGCTTATACTCCAAACAAGCCCTTTATGCGATCTATTTGTGCCACGTTATTTTGCAGTGTTTGTGATTTGCCTAAAATTTGCTGGTGACTTCACGGCTTAAAATGGCCCCAAGCACAGTACTTAAGTGCTGTCTAGTGTTCCTATGTGCAAAAAGACTGTGATGTGTCTTACCGAGAAGATACATGTGTTACATAAACTTCCTTCAGGCATAAGTTATAATGCTCTTGACTGTGAGTTCAATGATAATAAAAAATCAACAAATGTATGAAATAGGGGCGCCTGAGTGGCTCAGTCATTAAGCGTCTGCCTTCGGCTCAGGTCATGATCCCAGGGTCCTGGGATTGAGCCCCACATCGGGTGCCCTGCTCAGCGGGAGGCCTGCTTCTCCCTCTCCCACTCCCCCTGCTTGTGTTCTCTCTCTCTCTCTGTCAAATAAATAAATAAAATCTTAAAAAAAACCCCATGTATTAAATAATGTGTCTTTAAACAGAAATACACATAAAAAAGGTTATGTGTTGGGGCGCCTGGGTGTCTCAGTCGGTTAAGTGACTGCCTTCAGCTCAGGTCATGATCCCAGGGGCCTGGGATGGAGTCCTGCACCGAGCTCCCTGCTCAGCAGGGAGTCTGCTTCTCCCTTTCCCTCCATCCCTCCCCCTGCTTCTGTGCGTGCTTTTTCTCTCTCAAATAAATTCATAAAATCTTTACAAGTAAATAAAAAAAAAAGAAAAGGTTATGTGTTGGTCTTCTGATGAAAACATTGTGACCAGAGGCTTTCAGGAACCTAATCTTATGTTTTCCCTACAGGCAGTGATCCCTGTGACTTTGTTGAACATAACCACCACAAACAATGAGGATCAAGCGATTTGCAGTAGGTGAGAGCACATTTTGTACTGTAAGCTTTCTAGCAGCCAACATAAGAGAAACAAACATGACTAGTTACGTGATTCAGTTTGTCCATAAAATTATTCTTATGCTCTTGGGGCGCCCAGGTTGCTCCGAGTGTTGAGCGCTGGCTCTTGATTTCAGCTCAGGTCATGATCTCAGGGTCCTGGGATCCAGCCCCACGTCAGGCTCTGTGCTCCATGGGGATTCTGCCTTGAGGATTTCTCTCCCTCTCTGTCTGCCCCTGCCCCTGTTCACACTCTCTCGCTCACTCTCACTCTCTTTCTCTAAAATAAATAAATCTTTAAAAAAAATATTCGTAGGCTCTTTACCATAGCATTTGCTTGACTTTTCACTTGTACTATCTCTAAATGAAATTCTCTAACTTCTAAATAATCAAAACCCTCCTTGATCTGGCTTCGATATACCTTTCTAGACTAAGAAGCTCTTTCAATTCACAAATTATGCAGAGTGACAAATATTGGTGACATTAAAATCAGAGAAACATTTCTCCCATGGGTTCACAGAGAGAGGGCACTATGATTAATGAACAACAATGGACAATGTTCTTCCAGTAAACAAAGATGAATTTCATAAGGACCTTTCTTTTATGAAATACAAAGATAGTTTTAAAGCCCACAAAGCAGAATGAAGAAATTCTCAAAGATGCAGAAAATATATTTCACAGATTTTTAAATTATATTAGAAAGTCATAATGACAATCATTAATTCTGAGAACTATAAGATCAGAGTGTCATAATCTCACCAATCAATTATGAATTCCCCATAATTCATATGTGTTCTAGAATTGGAAGGTGAAGATTTGTAATTCCTCTGGCTGAACAGTTATCAACAACAGACTCACTAACTGAAATCTTTGTCAAGGAATATAATTAATTATACTCATTTAAGTTTTAGGAACTCAAGTTTCTTTGGGGCACTGAAGCGTCCATCAGCACACAACAAGCACCTAAAATATTTTATTAACATTAATCAGACAATGAAAGCATAACACTCTCCTGAGAGACCTTTCTTATAAATAAATAAAGTATAAGATCTCTGCTTTTATAAGGTAACACAGCACTTACAGTACAATGGGGGACGTTTGTTAATGAGGAAGGAAATTTTTTTAAAGCACTTGTGATCCAGTGTTAGTAATTATTTTTCAGATAGGCTTTCCCTTCAGAGATTCCTGTCTTATCTGTTTCTCTAGTTGTGCTCCTATCAATGCAAATGATTTTATATTTTGTAATGCTTATTTTCCTCATATCAAAATTTAAAACGGATAAACAAAAACAAAAAGCAAACCTTTTCCCGTAAACCTAATTATGATTTATCCTTCCTGTATAATGCTGAAATTCGTCTCTCCTCTCTATTTCTCCCATTTCTTCTTGCAATTATAATTAATGATTTGAAATTTATTATTTTAATGAATAAATGCTTACCTGCTGTTGAGAGTTCAGTTTGTATCAGGTCAGTGGTTCCTTCTGTATAAATGGTGAGTTTATTCTTCAAGCCTACTTCCCTAATTAGTCCTTAGTGGAAAGAGGAGGGAGAGAAAAAAACAAAAAAGTGCCCACACCTGTAGATAGGGAGGAGTTTATGGTGTCAGGTGAAAATCATCATGCATACAGCACCAGTATTTTCACTGAATCTCTTCCTTTCTCTCAGATTTAGACTTATGGTGTAAAAAACAGTGAATACTAATCTTGATTTAAAGATAGACATTTTCTAGACCCCAAACCCACTATCTGTTAAGATCTCATGAAAGAGAATAAAAAGGAATGGGACCCAGGTGAATGGGGTACAATAAGAAAATGACAGAGAGGTAATGACCTCATATATTTTCTTTTTTTTTTTTTTTTAAGATTTTATTTATTTACTTGAGAGAGAAAGAGCAAGGCACAGGGAAAGAGCATGAACAGGAGGCAGAGGCAGAGGGAGAAGCAGACTCCCCACTGAGCAGGGAGACGGATGCGGGGCTCGATCCCAGGACCCTGAGATCAGCACCCTAGCCAAAGGCAGACGCTTAACAGACTGAGCCACCCAGGCACCCCTATACTTTCATCTATTTTGAAGAAAATTATTTTGCTACCCTAAACTTCCAAAGTTGACAAAGGGATACTCTCTAAAGAGTATACTTGTGGAATTGAGAGTATTTTTGATAATCTAATTCTCTTACCCTATTCTTTTAAATGAGAAGTCAGAGTTTACTTGCTTCCCTCAAATGGCTGCAATTTCAAGTGACATGTAGACACTTCCATGGGCATCTTGGCCCACAACACAATACCTGAGTTTCGGGATAAGAAGCAGTATGAATGTTTCAAGGGCATGTGAAGAGTGCTTCGATTTGAATGTGGTCACATGGAAGGATACTGTTTATCATCTTTATGTCCCATAAAGTCAAGATCAAATGAAGGGGAAAGTTAGGGCATTCTTTTTTTTTTTTTTTAAGATTTTATTTATTTGTCAGAGAGAGAGAGAGAGTGAGCACAAGCAGGGGGAGTGCCAGGCGGAGGGAGAAGCAGGCTCCCCGCTGAGCAGGGAACCTGATGAGGGACTCGATCCCAGGATCCTGGGATCATGACTGAGCCAAAGGCAGATGCTTAACCAACTGAGCCACCCAGGCATTCCTTCTTTTTTAAGATTTATTCATTTATTTTGAGAGAGAGAGAGAGAGGAAAAGAGAGAACAGGGGTGGGGAGGGGCAGAGGGAGAGGGAGAGAAACTCAAGCAGATTCCCCGCTGAACATGGAGGCCCAAGCTGGGCTTGAACTCTTGAACTCTTGAGGTTATGATCTGAGTTGAAATCAAGAGTCGGATGCTTAATCAACTTAGTCACCCTGGGGTCCCTGGGGCATTCTTTACTTGAAGTTGCTTGTTTAAGTAACACAGTGGGTAGCTGGTAGCTGAAAGTGACTGGAGAAATTGTATTAGATGACAATTACTGGATGTGAAAAGCAGACTGTTTTCTTTTTGATCCGGGTATATTGATAACTTTTTAAAAAATTTTATTTATTTGAGAGAGAGTGAGTGAGTGGGGGGAGGGGCGGGGGAAAGAGCCTGAGGTGGGGTTTAGTAGCAAAGAAATACATTCAGTGGCAGCAACTCTTAAGAAAAGCTAGTTAGGGGCGCCTGGGTGGCTCAGTCGGTCAAGCGTCTGCCTTCGACTCGGGTCATGATCCCAGGGTCCTGGGATCGAGCCCCGCATTGGGCTCCCTGCTCCGCGGGAAGCCTGCTTTTCCTCTCCCACTCCCCCTGCTTGTGTTCCCTCTCTCGCTGTGTCTCTCTCTGTCAAATAAATAAATAAAATCTTAAAAAAAAAAAAAAGCTAGTTAGAATACAAAAATGGCTCAGTTACTTT